TTGGGATTTCTTTTGATCTCTCCTAGGATGACAGGAAATTTTAAAACAGATAGACATAACAAAAACATCTGATTTTGTAGCAGAAATATCAGTGTTGCTAAACAAGGCAAGTGGGTGGATCTATGTTCTGAATGAAGAACTGAGTTAAGAAATAAAGTTGCTACACTGAAAGTGCTGCTGTGGGAAGTGGGATAGGACCAACAAGCAACATAATGGAGATGTCAAAGTCCACAAACGACAGAGGACCAGAAACACGGAAAGGCATATTTTGCCATGTAATTCATCAAGGTCAACTCCGACGCAGCTCTCTGAAGTGTATCAAAATTTGCATCAAAGCTGAATTTGCTCAGCTGTGTTGAATTGCAATAAATGCTGAGTGAAGCCAAAAGGGTTTCTAAGGGGAGGCTGTATCCACAGCCTGCAGTGTGATTGCTTTCAAGGAGTGGTGTCAGCAAGAAAGGAAACCTTTTAGCTTCCCCTTCCTCCAAGCCCAGGGGTATAAGTGGCTAAATTTGTCTCTCTTGGATACCCTGTCAAGAATTCCTGGGAACATGTTAGATTTGAAGAAAATTCTCAGCAACCACACTGTAAACTGACACCTCTGGAATGATGAGAGGTTTTCCTGGTTATTCTGATGTCTGAACTCAACTGTTAGACTGATTTGTGCCTTTTGACCATGCAGTCCATGATAGTTGCACTCTGAGAAACAGTGGATTCATTTAGGAAAGGATTTCCCACTTATATATACATCCCTTCTGTGTTCATTAGATAGCATCTGTGTGACCATCCCACATGTGCCGTTGTAGACATGGAGAAGACAAGATGGTTTTTGATCATGGCGGCACTCCTTACAGACCTTCGTATCTCGGGTAATGCTTTCATCTGCTATTCTTTGCAGCCCTGATAGGTTAAAGTCTGCAGGTGATAAGAAGTGCTCACTCAGAGGATCACGATCTCCTGGCAGGACCTCGTTTCAATTTCAAAAGAAACAGACCTGTCCTGCCAGATTCATAGAATCATAGATTCCTTAAGGTTGGAAGGGTCCTTTAGGGATCATCAAGTCCAACCCCCTGCACACGCAGGGTCACCTAGAGCACGTGGCACAGGACTGCGTCCAAGCGGGTTTTGAAGATCTCCAGAGAAGGAGACTCCACAACCTCTCTGGGCAGCCTGTCCCAGTGCTCTGTCACCCTCACTCTTAAGAAATTTTTCCTTAAGTTCCTGTGGAACTTTTGGTGCTTCAGTTTGTGGCCATTTCCTCCAGCTCTATTGGTGGCCACCAGTGAAAAGAGGCCAGCCCCATCCTCCTCACTCCCTCCCTTGAGGTATTTATATACATGGACTAAATCCTCTCTCAGCCTTCTCTTCTCCAGGGTGAACAGGCCCAACACTCTCAGTCTTTCCCCACAGGGCAGATGTTCCACATTTGCTGTTGGGGAATCCATCCCCTTCCAGCCTGAAATCATGTCCCTTCAGGGAGATGGGGGAGTTGCAGCCCAACTCAGCTTTGCTACAGGAGGACAAAATGCATGAGTGATCCAAAGCAAAATCCTCCTTTATAGAAGTACTAATAATATAACTATTAAAATGTTTCCTTGAGTTATTTCCAAGTGAACAAATTCCCCAAAACATCTTGTGGACTTTTGTTCTGTTTGACACCTTTGAACAATTGTGATCTATTGTCTCTTGAGCTGAATGTGCATTAGTAGAAGAGACCTAAATTACTAGTGAAAATAATGACTTTCAATTGTTCCTCAGTCTCTGTATCAGGGCACTTTTATCTGTCCCAGGCCTCTATGTCCATCGTACTGGTATATATTTTGACTGTTTTCAGACACATACTCCCCAATGTTTGTTCTTTCAGAAAATTTTGAAGTCATCTCTCCTCAGAGCATAACAGGGCTTGTTGGCAAAGATACAGTCCTTCTCTGCCAGATCTCTTCCACAAAGCCACTGGACAGTATAGAAGTGCAGTGGAAGAAAATCACAGCTGGGCAAATGGAGACCGTGCACCTATACAAGCAACAGAGTGGTGACATTCCAGGGCCAAAATATGCTGGGCGAACTGCATTGCCAAAGGATGGATTTGCCTCCGGGAATGTGTCTCTAGTACTAAAGAGAGTCCAACCAGCAGATGAGGGAACATACAGCTGCATCGTGAAGTCCAGAGACTGGAGTGCTGACAACACCACTACACTCATCACTGCAGGTTGGAGATTCCATGGGATGAGTGGGGAGAGTGAAAAGGTCTTTACAGAAGGAAAAAAGCTATCCAAAAGTCCACTGCCCCCAGCTGACTGTCTTTCATGTAACCCAACATGTTATCTCCTTACTTCCCCAATCCCATCACCCAGAGCAGACAAGTATATGCTCATGCCCTGCAAGAACTAGCCAATGAAGTTGGCCAGCCTTGTAAGGGTAGTCCTTGCTGTTCTGGGCAAGGAAGGAAGTCTTAAGTCTCAGAACAGCTTCTCTGAGTCTTTAGGAGACAAGGCTAGATTTAGCCATGCATGATGAGAGGCAGTTGCATTGCATGGTGCAACAGAGTGGGCAGGAAGATCTTGCTGACTCTGCCAGGAAACTGGGATAAGTTCCTATGCCAAAGGATGCTCCTCAGGCATCATCTGTGTACACGTATACATAACATCAGGTGAAGCTAGTCAACCTGTATTCACTCTCCAGTCAAGAAATGGAGATCAGCATCTCCAGAGGGCCTTAAACAACCTTTGAGGAGAGCAGGTGAAAAGCTCCCAGATGGTTCTCATTTCCCACTATTGACCAGGAGAGATGCCTGGAAAATACATCTCAGGCCTAGGGATCTAATTTATAATTGTTCAATACATTCTACAATGCAATGCTGCAGATGTTTTGGTTGTGTCACTGTGAGGTGTCAATCTATGGATGAGTGCCAGAGATCAGCATCTCCAGAGGGCCTTAAAGAACCTTTCAGGAGAGCAGGTGAAAAGCTCCAAGATGATTCTCATTTCCCACTATTGTCCAGGAGAGATTCCTGGAAAATACAGCTCAGGCCTAGGGGTCTAATTTATAACTGTTCAATACATTCTACAATGCAACGCTGCAGATGTTTTGGTTCAGTCACTGTGAGGTGTCAATCTATGGGTGAGTGCCATAGGGAAAACCAGAGCAAACTTTGCTTTACTTCCTCAAATGTGGACCACGGATGCACTCATGCTATAGGGGCAAGACTAAAAATATGCTGTGAAGCCACATGTCTTATCCCTGACTCCTCCAAACAGAGAAGGGAGCTGAGAGGCATACCCATTCCACATGGTATCGTATGATGGTGGTGGGGGGGGATTATGATTTTTTTTTTTGTGAACCAGACAAAAAACCAGAGCAAACTTTGCTTTACTTCCTTAAATGTGGACCAGGGATGCACTCATGCTATAGGGGCAAGGCTAAAAATATGGTGTGAAGCCACATGTCTTCTCCCTGACTCCTCCAAATAGAGAAGGGAGCTGAGAGGCATACCCATTCCACAGTATGGTGGTGGTGGTGGTGGGGCTTATGTTTTTTTTTTTTTTGGGCCAGACAAAAAACAGTATGCATGTTAGATATGATCAGGGTGAGATCCCGGGAAGAATATATGAAGGCTCGGGTCACATACTAGCAGATATTGTCAGGAAATTGGACTGAGCAATCTGGATTAAATGGTAGAATCCAAGAAAGATATGTTTTCATGGAAACACACTCTTCCCACTAACAAACTCTTTTGCCTTTAGCTACCGGCAAAATATCCCTTGAAGTATTGGGTCCTCAAGGACAAGGGGTGAAGCTAGCCTGCACAACAGAGTGGGCAGGAAGATCTTGCTGACTCTGCCAGGAAACTGGGCTAAGTTCCTATGCCAAAGGATGCTCCTTAGGCATCATCTGTGTACACATATCCATAACATCAGGTGAAGCTAGTCAACCTGTATTCACTCTCCAGTCAAGAAATGGAGATCAGCATCTCCAGAGGGCCTTAAACAACCTTTGAGGAGAGCATGTGTAAAGCTCCAACAGTATACATGTTAGATATGATCGGAGTGAGATCCCAGGAAGAATATTTGAAGGCTGGGGTCACATACTAACAGATATTGCCAGGAAATTGGACTGAACAATCTGGATTAAATGGTAGAATCCAAGAAAGATATGTTTTCATGGAAACACACTCTTCCCACTAACAAACTCTTTTGCCTTTAAGCTACTGGCAAAATATCCCTGGAAGTATTGGGTCCTCAAGGACAAGGGGTCAAGCAGGCCTGCACATCCCATGGATGGTTCCCCAAAACAAAATAATGAAAAACAAACAAATAAGCAAAAAAACAAAACCCACAAGCCCAAGAGCCTCAGACCACTGTTCACCCACCCATTTCTGTAACTCTTCCTGCAGCTCAGATTAATTAGCTCCTACTTATGGACAATTCTAACCTTTGTAATCCAGAAGATAACTGTCTGATTCTGGAGTAGAATTCACTTCTCTCCTTCTCCCCAAAAGTTGAGACTTGATTGAGTTTGTCAACTCAGCTGTCTCTGTAATTCCTGGAGATGAACAGAAAAAATCCTGGAGTGATTCTTCCTATGAGTGTCAGATATGTCTCTTACTAGGGACAATCCTGTCATGTAGTTGCCTGAGTCTGAGCATAGCCCAGATGGGACCGAATCCCACATCTTCTGTCCATCATTTCACTCATTTTCAAGGGAGCAGAGAAAGGGGGATGGTAGGGATCAGAGAAAGGCTTTTTGACAGTAGGGATTTAGGACTAAATCATACAAGAAGCAATAACTGACAAACTCTTTCCTGTAGTCCTTCTCATCTCCCATGCACTACAATCCTCTGTGCTGCCACTCTGCTAGATATATGCAGAAATGATTGCATATTGCCAGGTGACAATCTGATGTTTTGTTTTCAAAGGCGCTGCTTTTCCACAAACATCTCCCTGGTTGTTTGCCTTCTGGATATTGCTTGTCATATTTCTCCTCTCAATTGCTGCCACTGCTTTCATGGTCTTTAAAGGTAAAGGGACTTTGTTTTCTGCCTCACAAAAACCTACTCTTGAAGGGGTACTAAACTGTGGTGTGGACACATCCACACATGGTGGGAAGATCAGCTGGCAGTGTGGTGGCACCACCAAGACTGTACAATACAGGCCCTGTCTCAAACACTCCAGCCTGAACATGTCAACCTAGGGGATTAAAAAGTGAAAAGGAGATTGCTCTCCTAAAATGGCAATCTTTAAATCAAACCAGCTCTTCCTTTCTCCTTCCCTATCCCCAGTAGGTGGTGATCATATGCTCTTCTCAGCTATCCTCGTTTCTAAAACATGTTCTAACAGGTTCTAGATTTTTTTTTGGTACTTAAAATGCAAAAATATTCATCACTATCTCCTTTGTATGTTCAGCATTATTCAGTACTCATTTCATTTTATTATTTGAATATTGCAGAAAAACGGAAGACTTCTGATGAAGAAACTGCAGAAGAAGAGAATTTAAACAAACAACGTAAGGCATATCTCTTTCTCCAAAGAGCTGGCTTTGAATACCCACTCACAGGTCACTTTCCCCCTTCAGGTGGAGAGAAGTCTCTTTGCACTTACAGAGAAATTCTAGGTAATCCGTCCTCTGAGATGGAGGGGTTTTAGACATGTGAAAGCTGGAGAGTTTTTAAAGAAGTTAAAAAAAAAATGCTCCTAAGAAGCCTTTGGCTCATTACCCATCCCCATCCCTCCATCCCCAGGGATGGGAAATCTGCTCTGCATTTTCCCATCGAGAAACAGGAAGAGAACACGGGTTCTGAGAGAGATGGCACCATTCATGTGGTTACCATCAAATAATCCCAGGCATCTACTCTTCCTGATTGTACCTTCCCACTTCCCTGACATAAGCCACCCTCTTGTCCTTTCTCCTTCCTCTTTCATTGTCACAGTTTGGTTACGCAACAGTAATTAGATAAAAGGTGGCTGCAGCTCAAAATTGGCTGGGGATTTTTGCCATAGTTCTGAAATCATTAGCAGACCAAAATCTTCTCCTCTCCTTCAGCCATCAATAGCATTCACGTTAGATGAATATAGACAGAACAGAGTGATCTGGTTCGACAAGGATACCATTTGCTGCAAGGAAAACTTGCCCACCTCCCCTTTATGTCCTGACACATTTCTACAGAGCCCTGAGGCCGGGAGGTCTTGAATTTCTTCCAGGCCTCAACATAGAAAGCAGATGTGTTTTTCTCCTCCTGCAGGCACTCAGGAGCTGGAAGAACAATGTGGTAAGTGACCATTTGCATTACAAAAGAAAAGGAAGCTGTCATTGTTGAAGTAGGGGGGAAAAGAAAATAATAGTAATAATAGTAGTTAACAGTAACAGTAATAGTAATCTTAATAGTAATAATAAGAAATCCTCTCTTGTTTGTTCACAACTGTGCCTTTGGACAGAGTTTGGCAATATTTATCGTGCTACTATGAAATAGATGAGAAAACCATTTTATTTTTCTTGTGTCCCCCTTCTCCTTGCCTCCCAAAGATTTCCCAGTGAGAAGGGAGAGCCAGTGTCTGAGATGCCTTCCTGTGCAAAGACAGTGCTGGCAAGTTGGGAGCAATGTTTGAGATCCCCCTCTTATGTCTTAGAGAATTCTGCTTCATGAGTGAACAGTACCCCTTAACACTCAGTGTTTTTGTTTCAGATGCCCTAAGAAGAGAACTAGGTAAGTCAGAGCATCTTTCATTCATCTGCCTCTTGAAAATTCAGTCTTGCTCCACCTGGGAGCACCATGACCCCTTGATGCCACAGTCCTAGCAAAGCATAGTCCACACATGAATTTCTGCATCATCCCCTCGAGAGCTTGCAAAAGTCATGCTGAAGAGAGTCCAGCGCAGCGCTACAAGGATGATCAGGGGCCTGGA